GCTGGTAAATGTAGTATTTATTTTAGATGGTCATGTGCTAATAAAACACTGTTATTATGGAAGAAGGGAAAGATATATTTTAACAACTAGCAGTCTTCCACAAAGCACACATTGGTTTTGCTGGTTGGTGTAGTGAGTATGTTCTTTGGTTATGTGCCAAGAATCCATTTGTTGAGGGAAACCACATCTGATATAATAATCTTTCTCTGTTCAATGGTTGAGTGGGACTGAATTCCATCTGTGGTAAGCTGAATAATAGCCCTAAAGACATCCATGCCCTAACTACTGGAATCTGTGACTGTTACCTTCCATGTCAAAAGGGACTTTATAGGTGTGTTTAAGTTAAGGATCCAGAGATAGGAAATTTATCCTGGATTATCTGTGTGGGCTCTAAATATAGTTATGAGCATTCTTATAAGAGAGAGGCAAAGGAAGATTAAACTATAGAGGGGCGAAAAGGCCACGTGACAACAATGGAAGCAAAGAGAGATTTGGAGCTCTATGTTATTGACTTTGAAGATGGAGGAAGGGGCTATAAGATAAAGAATGCAGAGAATGTAGCTCATAAGCTGCAAAAGACAAGGAAACAAATTCTCTAGAGCCTCCAGAAGGAACTAGACCTGCCAACACCTTGATTTTAACCAAGTGAAATTGATTTCAGATTTATAGCCTCCAGAACTGTAAGAGAATAATGTGTGTGGTTTTAAGCCACCAAGTTTGTGGTAATTTGTTACAGCAGCCATAGGAAACTAATTTGCCATCTCAGGGTGAATAATAATCCAGTCCCAGTCAGATGAAGTGTATCATCTCCCAACTACAGTGATTGGTTAAGAAATGATCACATGACCCATGACTGCCCAATCAGAGTCTTCCTTAGGACTTCTGCTGAAAATTAAAGAAAAACAGCCTTTCTCAAGGATCCAAGGTATTAGGAAGTTGTTGTCTTTGATGACCAGTGAATCCTACCTGTTGCCACAGGAAGACTAATGGCTAAATGGTACGAAGGGGAGCTGAGAAATGTAGCAACAGAGCTCTAATGATATTTGAGGCCCTGGGGCTAGATCCACCTTCTGAGAGTTCAGTTACAGGAGCCAATCATTCCTACCTTTCATTTACCTGTATTGGGATGGATTTCTATGATTTGCAACCCAAAGAGACCTAATTAACATAGTTGGTATCCACCTTTTCAATCTCTGAAAACAGTAAAGAATAAAAGTGTCAGAGATAAGCTTTACTATCTCAGGAGGTCCTTGGTGTCCTTCTAAGAGAGCTTTAAATCCTTGACCCCTAAACAGAGAGCCTGTGGCCAAGACACTCAAAATAACTTTTAGTCTTAATCAACACCATTTAAACATTTAGTTTAATCAGTACTGAGAGAGGCATAGGTAATAATAATGAGCTATTTCAAAAGTTTTTAAATAGAAAAAGAAAAACTATTGAGTCAAATATGATGCTTGATAATTCTGAATATGTGCAATAAATGCTTATAAAAATGTTAAGATACTTAATTGTTGAATAAATAAAATATAAACATTCATTTTGTTACTTGGAGTGTTCTTTAATATGTAATGGGGAAAATTTTTTCAAACGCACTGTAAGTGATAAATACTAGTTTCCCTTTCTTAAAAAAAAATCAATTATTGAAACCATTACCACCAATTCAAAGTAACTCTACTTTTTCTATTTATTTCTTCCTTTTAATTTTTTTTCATTAGTGGAAGAAGACAGATTTATCTGGGAGATAGAGCAGCGTAATGGAAAGAGCATGGAGTGTAGAGGGAACTGGAGTTAGAAGCCCTTGCTTTTAATATTAACTCTGTCAATTACTGGTTCTATAACTTGGGGTAGTCATTTAACCTCACTTGGCTTCCTGGTGTAGCATGAGACTACTACAAAAAATTTCTTACCCATCTCAGAGAGCTGTAGTGGTAAACACCTTTTAGGGCACTATCTCTCAGCCTTAACTGTGCATAGGAATTCCCTGGGGAATTCCAAATTTTGTTAGAGTTTAGCAGATTCTTGTTAGTTTTGGAGTGGGACCTGAGAGCTGCATTTCTGATAAGCTCTCCTCTGATGTTGATACCACTTCATACTTTTGAGTAGTAAACTTTTAGGGTGTCTTCCAAGCTCCCAATGATTTCTCTTCTCTAGAAACTGCTCCCCTTTATAGCAATAGGCCATTAATAGTTGTTCTTCTACCCCTTTGCCATAGATGACTATAGTACAAATGATTTCTGACCTAGCCTGTGCCAAAAGAAGGTATCACCTGCAAATCTGGTTTTGAACATAGTCAGCCAGAGATGTGACATTTATTCACTTGCTCATTCATTCAAGCAATTCTTTTTAAATTCTCTGTATGTCAAACACTGTATTTGGCAGTGGATCTACGCCTGTCCATAAAGCAGATCTCTGCCCTCATAATGCTTTAGCAATGACAGAATAATTTTAGATGGGTTAAGTGCAGTGAAAGGATTGGAGGATTTCAAGGGTTGCAGACACCGGATTTAAATAGACGTGTTGGGGGGCCGGCCTAGTGGCACATTGGTTAAGAGTTGGCTTGGGGCGCCAGCTCTGAGCACAGGGCCCCGGTTTGGATCCCACATTAGGGCCAATGACACTGCGCCCTCTACAGCTAAGATGGTGAACAACAGCTCAACCTGGAGCTGGGCTGCCGTGAGTCACCGGCAATGGCATAGGCTGCAGTGGAGCTGCAGTGAGCTGCTATAAGCTACCATGAGTGTCTGGCAGCCAGCGTGAGTGGCTGGCAGCCAGCATGAGTGGCCGGCAGCCGGCATGAGCTGCCAAGAGCCATCGTGAGCAGCCGTCCAGAGCCTGGCGACAGCTCTGCCTCACCCGGGAAGAGCACAATGATAATACTAACATGGGCCGGTGAAGCAACGTCCTCCACAACTAGACTGAAGAACGAAAGGACAGCAACTTGTCTGTTTTCCTTCCCTAATTCCCCAACGCTGTTCCCCTCCCCCAATTCCCCAATTTAAAAAAAAAGTAGGCGTGCTGGGGAAAGCCAAGCTTTGCTTCCCTTTCTGCAAGAGCCTCAGAGGCCACATGTTGAAGACAATGGCATAATAATGAAACAAGACTGGGTCCCTGTGTGATTGTGTGGAGAAGAACTGCTCTCCCCACTTCCCTGCAGACTAAATTGGACTATCATGAGAGTGAGAAATAAATTTTTATAGGACTAAACCACTGAGATGTCAGAGTTTATCTATTATAGAAGCTAGCACTGCTTACTGTAAATACATAAATAGCTCAACTCTTTCTGAGCCTCTAAAAATTGCTCTTTTTTCATTTAAATTAGTAGAGTTCTCTCTACTACTTGAAACCCAAAGAACAATATGAATACAATTTCTGTGAGAATCCAATGAGCTAATACGTATAAAAGTACTTTGTGAATAATAAGGGTACACCTGTGAGGAATTATGACTGTAAATTGATTTTTTTCTGCAATGTACCCACTGTCTGGATATATTAATAGGGGAAAGAAATTAAACACGCATTTACATATAAACTCACACTGAGGTCAATTTCTTTCTCCGGTCATTTCTATCTTGATTTCTTGTTCAGGCATTTACAAAATCAACTTTACTAAATTCCACTAAATTGCAGTGGAAACTAAGGAAGTAATTATAAAGTTTGTAATTTTCCTTTAAAACATGCTTAGATTTTAAGAGTCCTGGGTGGCACGAGAATATTAACATTTAAATTTGCCACATTTATTCTCGCGTGCTATCAGCATGCAATAGATCTGAGCATCCCTCATGGGGATCTGAAGTCCCCAAGGGAAATCTGTCTCCTGTACTACATCCTCAGAGGAGTCGTTTCTCCCTTGGCTACTGGACCCAAGAGCATAGAGCTGGTCTCCCAACCCCCTCACTATCTTTCCTCTTCCCCTCTTCTAATCTTTGTGCATCTTGGGCAGTCAGAGCAAAGCTGTTCCTTAAGGCTACTTGGTACAATCATATCTCGGTCTCCTACGATTTATGGTTAGATCACAATTGAGGACAAGAGAGGTGGACAAGATCAGAGAGGCCCATTCCGGAGACCTAGCTTTCTTCACCTGGTCTTCATTACTGTTTGTATCCCAGGGCTTGAGGTTGTCCTTGTGACTTTGTGTTCTTAGTGGAAACTTAGCAGTAAATGATATACTTTATATGAGGCTCTATGACTCTGAATGTGGCAAGAGCAGCATATGAAGTCAAAAATCTCCATCCTTTGAGCCACCAAAATAAAATCCTCCACAGCCAGGGGTCAGTTCACATGAGTGTGTGTGTGTGTGTGTGTGTACACAGAGCCTGCAACTCTCCATAGAACCAGACTCCTGATGAACAGACAAAAGATGGGCCTCTCGGGGAGACCTTTGAATGAGGATGCCAACCTTCCTTTTTACATGGCATTTAGTCTTTGGTTCCAGCAACAAACGTTAGTCTTGGCCTCATTGCCGGCTCAGGGACCAGAAGTGGAATTGGAAAAAATAGTGAAAATCAGGGACACAGGAAAACATACGGACACACATAAATGTGGAAACTCAGAGATGAATAGAAACTTTAAAAGATACAGGGAGACTTTAAAATATTCAGGAGTCTCGTGAAGCCCCATCCATCCATCCATCCATCCATCCATCCAGGCAATACTGACTGAGCTGAGCCTCTCCTATTTATCAGGCACTGTGCTCAGCATTAGGGATACACAAAGATGGAGGTGGAAGTCTAAAGGCAGAAACTGGAGGTGGGAATAGCAGTAGTTGTGACTCTGTAAGGGCTCCCACCAAGCTGCAAAACAGGGACTGGGCACGTGTGGGAGATTCACGGAGTGAGCCTGCGGCCTCAGCACAGGTGAGAGCGGACAAGAAACCTGCACATAACAGAGATGCCAATGCCTCCGAGCTTCCTAGAGAGGCCAGGAACTGGCTCCAGGAGGCGCCAAACAGGGGTGTGGCCCCGGGCGTTGTGGTCTGGTCCTCCCAGTGTCCTGTAGCTCACTGTCGTGGCTGTCGTCCGCCGCCTCTGCGCGGGGACCCGGGCGGGGCTGGCGGGAGCGCGGCGGCTCCAAGGAGTTTCCGGGGCCCGGGTGACCCCGCCTGTACGTGCCCCGTGTGGCAGCGCAGGTGGGACGAGCCCAGTGGCAGGTGGTTCGCAGCGCCCAAGTGAGTAACACTGACTCGGGTAAGGAGAAAACCCTCCCCTTTCAGCTCTTCCGGATTCTAAGGAGCCAGGCTTTCCAGCTTGGCTTTTTAGTATGTCGCGAAAGCGTAAAACACGGGCTAGCTGCTGGTTGTTTTTTTTCCCCCCTCCTTGATTTTTTTTAAGACTGCAGCCCCCAGCACACACACACACACACACACACACACACACACACGCTGCCCCCCAAGCTCAGAGCTTTCAACGGCATCTGTTTCTAGCTACATTTGATTCACATCTTTTACTTTCATCTCACTTTTTTGGGGAAAGATTACCTTTGTGACAAATGATTCTGGTTTCCCATTTAAAGTGACAATGTAACGTTCCCATTTAAAATGGATGTATTTCTTGTAAAACGGCAAGTAGATCTAAATAAAATATATTAGGTAGCTCATAGTACCAGAGGTACCAGGCCTGACAGAAATGGTGAAGGTGGTAAGTAGACAATACTGCATTGTCCCAACCCAGCTGGGGAGACCTACAGACCTCGCTTCAGGCCCTGGGTTTAACTTGCTGCTTCTGACCTGCATCACAGTGGGCTAGCTTCTTTCCCGCTTTTTCTTTCTTGCTTTCTTTGATTTTTTTTTCCTTCCAGCTTTATTGAGATATACAGTAAAACCTTGAATTGCGAGTAACATTGTTTGCAAGTGTTCTGCAAGACAAGCAAACATTTCTAATACATTTTAACGTGGTAAATGAGCGATGTCTTGCAATACGAGGAGTTTGTTTCCAGAACAAATTATGCTCGCAAACCAAGGTATTACTGTAATTGGCATATAACATTGTGTAATTTTAAGGTGTACTCCGTGATGATTTGACACATGTATATATTGTGAAATGATAACTGCAATAAGGTTAGTTAACATCTCTATCACCTCACATAATTAGGATTTTTGTGTGTGGTGAGAACTTGAAAGATCTCTTTTAGCAACTTTCTGGCATATAATACAGTATTGTTAGCTGTAGTCACTATGCTGAATATTAGATCCCCAGAACTTATTCTAACATATAACTGGAAGTTTGTACCCCTTGACCAACATCTCCTCATCCCCTCACCCCACCCCATTCTAACCATCATTCTACTGTTTGTGTGAGTTCAGCTTTTTGTAGATTCCACATGTAATTGACATATAGTATTTGTCTTTCTCTGTCTGACTTATTTCACTTAGCGTAATGCCATCAAAGTCTGTTCATGTTGTCACAGATGGAAGGATTTCCTTCTTTTTATGGCTGAATAATATTCCATTGTATATACGTATACTATATTTTGTTTATCTGTTCATCCGTTGATGGACACTTAGGTTGTTTCTGTGTTTTGGCTATTGTGAATAATGCTGCAATGAATATGGGGGTGCAGATATCTTTTTGAGATAGTGATTTCATTTACTTCAGATGTAGACAAAGTCAGACAATTAAGTTTGCGGCCTCATCCTAGAAAAAGTGCCACATACCTGACTGTTGAATATCACTATGGTCTCCCTCGAAGTACTCCCCTTGGGAAGCTATGCACCCACACTGGCACCTAGTCCACCCTTCAAAGCAATTTTGGAACTCTTTTTCTGGAATGGTCATCAGAGCTGTCATCGTATTATTCTTGATGTCCTGAATGTCATCAAAATGCCTTCCTTTCAATATTTCCTTTCTCTTCAGGTAAAGAAAGAAGTCTTTCGGGGCCAGACTAGGTGAGTAGGGAGGGTGTTCCAATATAGTTACTTGTTAACTGTCTAAACACTCCCTCACAGGCAGTGCCATGTGAGCTGGTGCATTGTTGTGATGCAAGAGCCATGAATTGTTGGTGGAAAGCTCAGGTCATCTAACTTTTTTATGCAGCCTTTTCAGCACTTCCAAATAGTCAACTTGGTGAACTGTTTGTCCAGTTGATACACATTCATAATGAATAATCCCTCTGATATCAAAAAAAGGTTAGCAACATCATTGCGACAAGCTCATGAACTTAATTGTCAGGCTGCATATATGCAAGTTTCTTGATCTCTGACCCTTGGTCCTCATATCTGAAAAGCTGAGGATAATAATAACTACCTGGCAAGATTGTTCTGAGGTTTCAGTGGCAAATCATTAAAACTTTTAAAGCGCCTAGCCCATAAAAAAATAATAAATTTAGCTATAGTTGTTATTTTCATTTTAGCGAGGAGGAAACAGGATCAGAGCAGTTCAGTCACTTTCACAGGATCACACAGGGAATTGGTTGGGAGAGCCAAGTCTAGGACCCACATTTTCTGATTTCCAACCTAGGAAAGCTTAACCCCGCAACCCTACTACCTCTACCTCATGGGAGAGGACGGGGCACCTTCTCCCTGGCCCTCTGGTAATTGGAGGAACCACTATGAGGTTGCAGGATATGTTAGCTGTGAAAGCTTCCACAGGACTCAGGTCAGTAAATTTGGAATTAACAAGTTAGAACTTGTGTCAGAGGGTCGTTAGGACATCAGAGGAAACAATTCATGGAAAGAATACCAGGCGCAATGCCTGGTATACTGTAAGTGCTTAATAAATGGCAGCTGATATGACTTGGATATGTTGAAGTGGCAGACACGCTGAGCTAGAGAGGGAAGTTCAAGTGTAATACTCCTTGCAGATACAGCAGAAAGGGGCATTTGAAAAGGTTGCAGAGTACTCATTCCATTTGAATTTACCATCTGCCAGACATTTCTTGTCCCTGTAGATATCCCTGGAGATATGCTCATATGCAGTTTAAATGGTAGTTTGGGAAGCAGATGGGAAATACCAGTTATAAAATTTCATAATTACTTTTGTCCTAAGCATCATGAAGAATTGCAAGGATCTTTTGTGCAATAGTTGGGTAAAAGGAGTTTGAGTTGAGTAGCTGGGTAAGAAGATTAGATAACCTAGGGTGGTAAAAATTAGACAGCTGCCCTGCCACCTTCAGTTATATTCAAAACAGTGTGCGCAATTACCCCTATCTGTTATGAGTATATTGGCTTTCCACTTGGTGCTATGTCCTTAGTTAATTTTCTTCCCAAATGTGTTTGGCTGTTTTGGTTTTACACCTCACATCCCTTTTACCTATATCAGGGTTATTCTCCTTATCGTCTCTAACTACTTCTTCCTTGTTAGTGCTTTGACTGCTTTGTATTAAACACAGAAATATTCAGATCATGCATGGAATTTGAACAGCACCATTTCTAAGCCCTGTAGCCTCATTGTGTTTTCCTGCTCTCCATGCAATAAGAACACAGTTACCTTTTGCCTCCCTCCAGTCAATGAGTACCTGGGCAGTCATTTAAAACATGCCATCAGAGGGTTAAACTACCTGGAGATATCTTTATCTTCCTTAAAGTAACTACAGTAATGTTTTACTTTTATGAAAGCAATCTCTGGTTCTCTCTGTTTCATACTCCAGTGGCCCTAGATTTGTATATTGCGTTGTAATACCACAGGGCTAGAACCATCAATGTCTTGAACTCATGGGATGAAGGAACTGTGTGCACAATCTAAGGTTCTTATTACTGATCCTTAGCATTTAATTAGTTCTTTGTAAATCTAGAAGCACTCCTCGTCATTTTTATGAGTTTCTTCTCATAACTTCCCCACGAGATGTCAACTTTATTACCCTCACTTTATCTTCGTATTATCAAGAGGTCAAGCAGGTTTTAGATTTCATTGTTTCCTGTTGGTAATTAAGATTCCTTTTTCTTGGTCATGTATTTAACGTGAACCTGTTTCCACTGGAATGACCGCTCAGGTCAGATGTGACCCTCCCCCGTGACCTAGAAGAAAGCAATTACTGAACAAAGCCACTTTTTAGAGGAGACTTAATTGCGATTATAAAGGCCAGTCTGAGTGCCCAGCCCTAGAAGGAATCAGATGGAAACAAATTAATAAAACAGAAGCTATCAAGCGTATAAAAATGAGGCAGTTGATTGAAGGGAAACCTATGTATACTCTCTCTATCTCTGGCTGAGTGTTTATGGGAATTTCTTGTGGTTTTCTGTGTAATGTGCGTGCTGCAGTTTTTCTGTTTTTATTTTATTGAGCCAGGAATGGAGGCGGTGACTCCTATGAAGTAGCATTAATGGCTGATAATCTACAGCCTATGAATGTTTTACATACCTGGTGGAAAGGCTTCTTTTCCTTGCTGTTTGTCCTGATAAATCATTAATATTTCCTTACTCGTTGCCACCTTTCTCTTCTGACCTTCCTGATCAGGTCAGTTATCTAAGCTCTTACCTCATATCATTCTGGAATTAGTTGGAAGGTAATGAGGAGTAGCATAAATAGGTCTGGCAGGTACTCTGAAGCATTCATAATTTGAACTTGTATGTCCCCAGCATGATTAATGTGCACATGAGCCACAAATGACCTGAGGCCTTGAGACTGGACTGGAATGTGCAGTTTTCAAAACAAAGCCCAATTAGAGATTAGGAATCAGTTCTGTTGGAATTTTCTTAATTGGACTCTCTGAGGCCTCCTCATCCATTTCTGAACCCTTCCAGTGGAATTCTTGTTGGAGATATTAAGAATATCTTAAACTTTGTTATCTGGTATCCTAGTGCTCAAAGCTCTATTAACCCAGCAGAACATTTCTAAAACCTGTGTGCGCTTTTTCAGTTAATGATAACACCTTCCTCAAATTTCTGGACACTGCCTGCTGCCACATCATTGAGTTGCTTGCCAGCTCTCATCCTAATCTCAGGTTAGCACACTGGCATTTTATCCTCACTGATAGCCCAGATCCTCATCGCTTCTAACCTAGACTCTTGCCTGTTTCCAGGCTGTCCCTCCTGCAGGGAAAGCGTGGTCTTTGGCAAGGACCAAAGTGAGGATGCCGTTCTGTAAACCTAAAGGGGCTTTCTGATGTCTGTAGAATGGAATTCACATTTCCCCAAGGGGACTTGAAGCTGTCTCCAAGCTGAACCTAGGCTGTCCTTCTGCCCCATGTCAACAGCCGTTCCCTTTGTCTTTCATTTGCACACCAGCCACAGCAGACTTGCCATATTAGCTGCCCTGTACTGGCCTTCCCTGTTGCCATTCCATTCATGTATGATGCTCCCTTAGCCTGTAGTAGCCCTCTGCCTCATCTCGGCTTGCCGAAATCTTCCCGTTGTCCGCGTACAGCTCTCATGCTCACTCGATGACAAAGTCTTCACTGATCAGGCCTTCAGGATCGATTCCTATCCCCACCCCACCTCGGTGTTCCCACAGCACCTTGTTTGTACCAGCATTATTACAGCAATCTTGTTTTCTTCTTTTCGCCTTGGATTTTAGATAGTTGCAAAAGGCTCTCCCCTTCATCCTCAACTCCAGGATGTAGGAGATCTATCTCATTTAGCTTTATGTCCTTTTACTCCAGAGCTTTATAGGAGATAAATTAAAATGACAGCGTTAATTGGCATACATAATAATGAGTCTTAGATACTGAAGCACCCTGCATTATTTGTGCCCATCATAATTTTACTAAATTGGATGTATTTTAGTGTTCAAAATCATCCATAAATTCAACACCTACTTGTTGAGCATCTACTGCGTTCTAGGTTCCGGTGGGGACATGCCAGTGAAAAAGGCCAAAGGACTCAGTTCTCACAGCACTTAACATTCTGTTGGAAGGTAGATCAGTAGTAATTTTAGATAGTGAGATGTGCCATGAAGAAAACAAAGCAGCATTTACAGTAAGGGAGAACTGTTGTAGGTGGGGTGATCAGAGAAGCCTGTCTAAGTTGAGTGACACTTGAACAGACCTAAATATTGAGAAAGATGCAGCCAGACAATGATCATAAGGTCCCTGTTAGGTAGATTAAAGAGATGCTGGCACGTTCATTTTTCATGAATTTTCTTGTAAGCACAGCTGTGGCAATTGCTTAGTCAAACCTTTGGAATCCATCAGGCACCCTCCACACCATTTTGCTCAGGGTTCCTAATATTTCTCGCTCTTCCTTCCTGCGTACCCTCCAGCCACTGAGACAGTCATTTGCTGAAGCGTGTCTCCAGCTGTCACACCTACTGATTTCTGCCTGAATGATCTGGTTAGCTTTCTCGGCAATCTGACCTACTTAGTACACTTCTCCAGGGGAACTTGTCAAACTTTTTGTAACCCTGTGCTTTTGAGTGACCTAATCATGGTATGTGGGAGTGTAATAGAATAATCGAATCCCCAAACCCTAGCACTTGAAGAAAAGGAAATGCAAGAAAAGACGCCCATGGGGTACCCATATCATGTCAGGCAGTTCGCTGGGCATTTTTTATACACTGTCCCACTCAGTCTTCTGAAGCCTGTGAGCTTATCATCAGCTCCACATTTTAGAGGCAGCAGCAGGCTCCCAGGGAGGCTTGTCCAGGTGGTCTTGGTCGCTTGCAACCTCCCTGCCTAACCACACCTATGAATGCCTCCATGGACTTGAGTGAGGGAGCGTGTGCATTCCCAACGCATTTCAGGACCTGCGTGCCTCCTGCTCCATTTCTTTATAAGTGGAAAGACTTGAGTGACCCACTTTTTGCTTGTTTTCTCCTGTTCTCGAGAGAATAGGGTCTTGGAGCCTTGAGAAAATATGACAGATATTTTTATAAGATATAATTTATAACATAATGATTACTATTATTTTGGCATAGAAGAAGAGGGACGGAGAAGTGAGACTCCCATACGCATTGAGCACATGCAGTGCTTACAAGATTTCCTGGGGGTGGGGAATGTGGTTTGCTGGATGAAGGAAAGTTTTGCCTTATTTATTTATCTATTTATTTTGCATATAGGGTTACTAAAACACCAGTATTAAACCATGCTACCATGTGCAATTTTAAACAAAAGATGTTGGAAACTTGCTTTAGAGTTCTGTCCTTGATTTTTCTGGTGCTCAGGGGTGGGGGTGAGGGTAGTGGGGGGGGGGAATTCCTCTCCCTACCAAATTTGAATAAATTCTTTTCAAAAAGGCTCGAATTTTTCCCAAGGATTAAGAATGATGCCTTACATTTGGGTAGTGCTTTGTGGTTTCCAAAGCACTCCCAGGTAATTATCTTTTTAACCATCACAATGACCTTGTCAGGCAGGCAGCGCAGATATTTCTGTCCTCATATTGCATAGGAAGAAACTTGAAGCCCAGAAGTGAAAGGGGAGGAGGAGTTGGCTAACATCACACAGCCATGATTAGAACCTAAGTCTTAGCTTTTCTTTCTATGACAGTATACCGCCTTATTGTTTTTGTTAACCCCAAATTAGGGACAATCACGTTTGCATTTGGAGCAGTAACAGTGTTGCATACTTCTTTCTTATAGGGCCAGTTATCTTTTTGACTGTCACATATGGACTCCCAAAAATCTCCGAAGGAAAGCGTCCTCATTACAGGAGGAGGTGGCTATTTTGGTTTCCGGTCAGTGCATCTATAAAATATGTCCGTAGAATTATTTTACTGGTAATTGCTGGAAAAAGTAGCTTTCAACTCTGACATCGATACAGTATAGACTTTTACTTGTTTGTATAGTGTTAAGCCAGGAATGAACTATTTTGTCCACTGCTCAGATACCAAAATTGAGAACTGCAGATATATTCCAAGGTAAGAAAAAAAGCCATTAAAACGGGGAGGGGAGATAGTGACATCACCAAAAATCATTTAAAATATTAGTGATTCCTTCACAGTTATTATTCATAAATATTCCAAAGAATGGATGGTGGGTCCAAGAACAGAGGGACAAAATGTAACACGTAGATGCCACTCTCTTTGAAGATAAAGCCCTCTCATGTAATTTAAGTAGACGTGAGGATTCTCATTTTTGAATATTTGCATTAGTAAGACTTGCCCCAAGGAACATGTGAAGTGAGGGACTCAGAATAAGCCGTGAAGACTTGGTCAATTATTTTACACTCTTTTCCTAGGTATAGCTTAAGAGCGATTTCATCTAACTTTTACTCTTTTTCACTTTAGCCTAGGCTGTGCTCTGAACCAGAAGGGAGTCCATGTGATTCTGTTTGACATCAGCAGCCCTGCTCAAACCATGCCAGAAGGAATCAAGTTTATACATGGAGACATTCGCCACCTCTCTGATATAGAGAGAGCCTTCCAGGATGTGGATGTCACTTGTGTGTTCCACATTGCCTCTTATGGTATGTCAGGGCGGGAGCAACTGAATCGAAGCCTGATCGAAGAAGTCAATGTGGGAGGCACAGACAACATCCTCCAGGCTTGCAGGAGGAGAGGGGTGCCAAGAGTAGTTTACACTAGCACTTTCAATGTCATCTTCGGAGGTCAAGTGATCAGAAATGGAGATGAATCCCTGCCTTACCTACCGCTTCACCTCCATCCTGATCACTACTCTCGGACCAAATCTATTGCAGAGAAGAGGGTGCTGGAGGCCAATGGGACATCCCTGGAAAGAAGCGATGGGGTCTTGAGAACTTGTGCTCTGAGGTCAGCTGGCATCTATGGGCCTGGAGAGCAAAGGCACCTTCCCAGGATAGTGAGCTACATTGAGAAGGGCCTGTTCAAGTTTGTGTACGGGGATCCCAGGAGCCTGGTTGAATTTGTCCATGTGGATAACCTGGTCCAGGCTCACATTCTGGCCTCAGAGGCCCTGAAAGCGGACAGGGGCCACATCGCCTCTGGGCAGCCCTACTTCATCTCCGATGGCAGACCTGTGAACAACTTTGAGTTCTTCCGGCCTTTGGTTGAGGGCCTGGGCTACCCGTTTCCATCCATCCGCCTGCCCTTGACCCTTATCTACTGCTTTGCTTTCCTAACAGAGATGGCCCACTTCCTTTTAGGTCGACTCTACAACTTCCAGCCCTTCCTCACCCGCACAGAAGTTTACAAAACTGGTGTCACACATTACTTTAGCCTAGAGAAGGCCAAGAAAGAGCTAGGCTATGAGCCTCGGCCATTCGACCTCCAGGAAGTAGTAGAATGGTTTAAAGCCCATGGTCATGGCAGAAGACCTGGGAGCCATGATTCTGAGTGTCTTGCACGGGATGGGCTATTAGTCTTTCTCTTGGTGATGGCAGTTCTCACATGGCTGTCCTCTGTGATTCTGTCACTATGAAGGAGGAACTAAAAATAAGGAGCCGATCACACTTGCTGAGATGGTTTTCAAGAAGCACGAGTTTTAAAATACAGATAGATAGATATAGATATCTGGTGCCAAATTCTGGCTCTTCGAATTGCTACTCAAGAATAGATTCTTGGATTAAGTCTTCGTTTCCCACCTCCTTGCACTAATCCTAATGGGAGGAAAAAAAAAAAGAAGCAAAGCTAAATTTGAAATTTGGGTTCTTGTGTCCTCCTTCTCTAGGTGGGTACAGTAAGTCATTTTGGTGCCATAGACATAAACTTACTTAGATTGGAAATGTCTTCCCTGAATTTCTCAGAAGCCGAGAACATACTTATTTCTGTTCCATACACTGCATCTACTTAAAATGGACTAAAACGCATACTGATATGGGAATGGTAAAACACTAACAGGCTTGAAAATGTGTAAAAAATACCTAATTGGGCTAGATCCCTACAGACCAACCCTCAGAGGAGCTGTTGGCTGTTGTAGGGGAGGCATTAGCTATTTACTGCATACGTTTTGAGAATTAGTTTTTGCCTTTTGTGACATAAGGGCATTATACCTGTGTGACCACGTGCTACTGTTTGATGTTTAAACAAATAGACCTTTATCTGACCTCACAGGATTCTTTGGAGGATTAAATTAGACATGGCATATAAAGTGCCACTCAGAACACTTAAGCCATTATTTTTATTAATATTATTATACGTTCCTTATGAGTGCTTTCTTCCTTGAGGTATTCTGTTTAAAAGGGGCTGTGGCTGCTAACCCTTCTGGAATGCCTTTGTGGTGTGCCCTCAGAGCCTGTAACAAGTGAGTTTGAATATACTCAATGTTTGTCAAGTTTTGGTGTTTGAGGATAGATTGAAGTTTAGGAAATAGCTCTAAATCTGATGATGAAGGAAGACAACCAAGTTCACGATACCATTTGTAATTTAAAAAACGAAGCATAACTGTAAACTAATAGACTGGTTTTCTTACTGGAAAAGTTTTTGGTTCTCTGAAGGCCATTTCCAGTGAGGGGTGTTCTGAACAACAGCATTGTCTACCCATCCACGGGGACTGCTTTGGAAGA